AAAATACTTCATCCTCCTCATCTCCTTCACATTTTGAACTTTTACCTCTTCCTCTGATTGCATCATCATTCAACTCCCTCGTCATTTTCAACTTCTATGTACTTGCCTACTCTAACAGACACCGGCGACTTCTACACCCCCCAAGCATACGACATTTCTAACATCCAAGGATTCACCCAATCCATCCAAATCGCTGCTGCAGGATGTGACACGGTCACTTGTACGAATGTGAACTGTGGTGTGAGTGTATACAATATACTTCCCCCTTATCTAGTTCCTGCTCCCATTCACCCCCTTCCCGCTCACTTCCACTCGCTGAAAAGTCTTGTTGTTCCATGTGCTAACCTCTCTTTCCTCTTTACTTCCTAGTGCGACGAAGCTTATCCCGTTGGCGTAAGTCGTCTCAACTACTCAAGTCTCTCCTGCTCACTATCCTACTCTTTCTTTCTTTGGCTTCATAACAGGACACAACCGGTTGCGGTGACGACTCCCCCGTTCGTGCTTGCGGCGCTGGAAATATCGCTTTCACTATCACTTTCTGCCCCTAAGACCTGAAATTTTCAGATTGCTTGCAGGCTTGATTTAATCTATCGAATAATGTAGTAGTCCGAAAAACGCTGTAAAATTGCATTATAGCTGAGGAAACTCGCATAATCTATCCAGTTTGTTTTCAAGAGAGAGCATTCATTGTCCTTAATGAGAAAAAACCAGCCCGGCAGCAAAATATCAAATTTTGGTCTCGTTAGTGACCACCGCAGGGGTCGAACCTGCAATCTCCTGATAACGATTCGTAGTCAGACGCGATGCCATTTCGCCAGGCGGCCCCAATAAAGTAGCAGCCTACAAATGATTAGGTTACTGATACATATCAAGGGAGACTCGTGAAATTTTACTGATAAACCCGTGGCGAATCACTTTAGTAGCTATTCTATATGGCTATGTAGCAACAACGATCAGAAACACCGTTGGTGAAGTGGTTATCATGCTTGCCTTCCATGTCTTCTAGGTTAGCAAGCGGCTCGGGTTCGATTCCCGAACGGTGTATACAAATTTATGTTTTGCGAGAATTTTTATTTTACTTTCTTTTGTTTCCTTGTATCTTTTTACAGGCACTTCAGTGTCAAACAATTGATAAAGAGATGAGAAATGGGAAGACATGTAATGTATGTACACTCAAGCTAGCTTTTCCCCCTTGCGCTTGTAGTTCTTACCCAACCTCATATCTCGTCAATAGTCTTTACGGTCTACTGTGACCACAAGATTTAGCTTTTTGTTATCAATGTTACCCTTGATCGTCATGATAGAATTCGAATACGGAATTTACTACAGTATATCATATTATAAAAAAGGTCAAAGCAGCAGCCACCAGTATGTACACATATCAATAGTCCAATAATCCAACATTATGTATATTTAAAGACATACAAGTGTAACAAGGCAACTATGCAACCCATAGTTCGTATTGTGTCACAGAAAGAAAAAAAGCTAACATTTCGAATTCGGACTAGGATTGTACTTTTTCCCTCCCACTAACTACTACATAATCACACATTTCTCATCCTCAGCCTTCGCACCTGTGATGCCCATCTCAGCAAACGTTTGGGGACCAGCTGATTTCTGTGCTCCCAGTGCTCCCGGTGCTGGCTGTACACCTACACCTAAACCAGTAGCAGGCGATTCAGGCCTCGACCCCGTCCCCGCCCCCGCCCCTGAAACGCCTCCAGAAACCTGCACCCCCCCACTCGGTCCTCGCCTCGGCGGTGGCCTCCCTCCTCCTCCTCCAGCACGAGAAGGCGACCTCGAGTCAGGTCTTTGAGCATTATTAACATTCCCAACCCCTTCTGTACGCGGGGGTGCCGAGCCAGAGCCAGGATCAACGAGGGTATACCTATTCGCGTTGGGGTATGATTGGGATTGGGATTGGGACTGTTGTCTTGCCGCTTCGGGTCTTAGACCAACGCCAGGTCCTACTCCTCCTGGACCTACGCCTACACTTCCTCCGCCTGGACCTACTCTCATTCCCTGCGGTCCCTGTCCATGAGTCCCCTGAGGAGGTAACGTACTCGCGTGTGCCGGCTGTCCCGGATACGTAGGACCAGGTCCTTGGTCAGTATGATACCTCCCATGTCCACCTTGCGGTTGTTGTTGGTAACTACCCAAAGTATTCTTCCTAATCAACTCGACTACAGGTCTTGAATCTCGTCTGTTTCCTCTTCCACCTTGGGCTCCTTGTCCGCCGGGGGGTGGCATACCTCCCCCAAATCCTCCTAATACCGGCCCTCCAGGCCCCGGATACCCCGGAGGCTGCTGCTGCAGACTTCCCTGTTGCTGACCACCTTGATTCTGGTTCACCTGCTGTCCCTGCCCAGCCAAATACCCATCCCTAACCTTCTGCGCCTCACTCCTCTGCTTCGCCTGAGTCCTCGTCCTCACTAACTTGCTTTCCGTAATCGTATCATGTTCTTCCCTCGAAAGCATCTGCGGACTTGGTTTTTCAAGTGCAGCGAGACGATCAATGGCGTCTGTGTTTCCGTGTATTTGGGCCTAGGGGGGAGCACACGAACAAGCACGAACAAGTCAGCACTTGAGAACGGAATTAAAAAAAAACAATCACTCTCTCTCTCTCACCTTTTGATACCACCCTTTTGCTTCTTCTAAGTCTTTCCCTCCTCCTATACCCACCTCACAATAATACCCCATTGCAAACTCGGCGCTGGGTAATCCTTTCCGTGCAGCTTTTTCAGCAAAGATCTTCGCGAGCTGTTCGTCCTTGTCGAATCCTCCGAGTGAAGGATCAGTGTTTGCTCCAGCTGTAATTTAATATTCATAATGAGAAGTAAAAAAAGGGGAAAGATAGTTTACCTGGACCGCCAACTCGACTGCCACATAAAAACCACTTTGAAAGAGCCATATCAGCCTCGGTCTCTCCCTGTTGACTCGCTCTCGAATACCACTCGACACTCAACAACGCATCAAACTCGAACGGTGGCGTCGCAAATTCGTATGCATGTCCTAGTTTGTATTGCGCCGGTGAAAAATGTAGATAGGCGGAATGCGTCAAGTGGGTTTTCGCTTCGAGCAGTAACCTGATAACAATGAGAACAACATATTATTAAAAAAAACAACATACCCTTGACTTCCCATATGAGCATACTCCGAACTAACCAACCCCAACCTAAAAAACACATCCTCCGGCACCTTGATCTGACCAAATTCCCCAAGCAACACCAACGCATATACATACGCTGGCTGAGGCGTCTCAACCGTCGACCCCACCGCAGCCTTCTTCAACACTCCCAACCCGCCATCAACATCAACACTGAACCCCAACTGGCCAAGCAACTGCGCCATAGCCATCCTATACAAACATGCTCCCACTCCTAGCCTTACCCCTCTCTGAAAACACTCCTTTGCATGCACGAGGTCACCAAAGGACTCATAGTCTCTTCCAATCCGGAACCATGCCTGCCCGTATCCTGCCCGTGCGGCACTTTCGTAGTCCCTGAACGCCTGACGGGGATTGCGCTGGGCGAATTCGGGGAAGGAACCAGAGGCGAGGAGAGAGGCGCGGTGGAAGAGGGCTTCGGATACATGAGGAGCTGTCGGTGTAGTCGTAGTTGAGAACGTGGATGCGATGTCGAGGATCATTGGCACTGCGACTTGTGCGAGTTTCAATAATGCTCCGTCGTGTATCTCCACTGGACCATTCGGTGGATCGCCCATGGGTGAATTAGTGGCCATCGCATGTGCCCTTTCGACGAGGAACATCACATCCCTCGCCCAAGCTACCTTGAGCGCTGGATCGTGTTTCGGTAATTGAATGGTGCTCATCGCGGACTGGAGAGCGGGAATTGTAGGTAGAGGAGCTGTGAGCGATGTCGATGTCGGTTCATGTGTATTGGTCGGATGAGTGATGTGTTGTGAAATCGTCGGTGAAGGTGATACCGCTCGATGGGCTTGATGTACTGGACTGTAATAACTCTCAGGTGGGTTATAACCCAGATTCGAATTCGGATTCGGATTCGGATATGGCAAGGTCGGCGCAGGAGACAACGATGGATGAGGTGGTGTAGGTAAGGCAGGCGACCAAGCTGACCATTGTTGTTGTCCTCCTCCGGGTGGTTGAGGCGATCTGGATGTATGAGGGATACTAAACCCACCAGGATTGTACCCTCCATTATTATTATTATATCTACCTCTTAATTGTTCGTCTAAATTCCTAGCCATCTATATGAAACTCAACCGCCAACTCTCTCATACATATTCAAAGGCCTACTCACATTCGCAGGGATGTCAGGATCCACCTTTTGTGGTATTGGTGCTGCCAATGGATCTTCTAGATGAGGCGCGCTTCCTCCGTCGGGTGTCACTAATAGTGGTGGTGGTGGAAGTCCTGGGTTCGTTCCCGCGTTGGAAGAAGAAAAAAACTGGATACCCGAAGGTGGTGGTGGTGGTGGTGGTGGTGGTGGTATAGAAAAAGAACTCATAGTATTTATCACTTTTTGATCACCAGCTGGCAGTGATCAAACCTTTCGTCGTTGTGCGATGTTTTCATTTAATATGTATTATATGTACAACTTCGGGTAATATCCTTCACCGCCTCCAGCTCCCGGCTCCCCGCTCAAAGTACAGCTTCACCCAGCCTCGTGAAATCCCTTTGGTTGCTACAGCTGTTCACCGTCAAAGCGACACGGAGAACAGCCGCTGTCGATATATCATAAATCGCATTCATTAGCTTATCCGAGTCATCAATTCATCGTATCAATTTTATCTATTCATCTCGTATCTTCGTATCCTCATAGATTCGTTATCAACAAATTCATCCTTCATACACATTTGCACATTTGCACAGCTCGCATACCTGGGTAACAAATGATATCCTACGGTGTAAACACCTGGCCAAAGGTAAAACGTCAATCTTATAATTAGACTGATATGACTCTTAAGTACTGATATTTCAGCGTAAATCCTCAAGCTCCTTACAACCCAGCTGACAAATAGGCCGCCTGGCGAAATGGCATCGCGTCTGACTACGATTTCTTACCTCTAGGTATGTATGCTGTATAATCAGGAGATTGCAGGTTCGACCCCTGCGGTGGTCATTAATTAAGCATTTTCACTTTGCTTTTTTTGTCTTGGTTTTTTTTTTTCGCTTTTGCTTTTGCTTTTACTTTTACCCTTTTCATTCTTTTTCAATGTACTTAATCCCACAACTCCTGGTTTCTAATGCAATACGAATTCTGAAGCTTCACACATTCCAACTATCTTCCTTCACAATCGTAGTTGGCAGGATCTTTGTCAGATTTTACTCTTGCAAGCAGCAACGCATGAGATATCATTTCAAAACTGGCGGTACAAGTACGCCGCACTCACCATTCTATAATTGTGTTTCCTCTCCAACTCGTATTCGGTTTCACTCCATTCCGAGTCAGAGGAGCCTCATCACCATGATCAGTGACCAGACTTTCGAGTCACTGACTCAGATTGAGGTGACTTTACTAGACGGGAAGGAGTATGTGCCACTCGGACTGCAGAGAATTGTGTTAGAAACTGGTCTGACATGAATAAATCCAAAAAATTCTTTGCAGCCGTTACTTGTGACAGAAGTAATCCGGAAAAATACAGCGAAAACAGAAGGTTTTCTTGCGAAACGTCAAGGTGGGTTCAAATAGATGAAAGGAAAGTGTATACTTTGTGGCATATGGCTAATTATTGTCATCACAAATTATTCACCTACCAGTGCAGTAACGACAATCTATGCTAATTTGGCCGCAATCATCATCCTCTCAAAATCCTGCAGACCCATCGACCTATCCGGTGCAGTTGAAAAGACTTCCAACATCTCTAGCATCTGCAATCCCGCAAGGGGGTATCTGAATCAGCATACAGGGTTCGAAATGACGATTGAGAGAAGTAGGGTACCTCCTCCGCTTTCAGTTTCTCTCCGAGCAGCTTTGTCACCCTCTGTATATCGGAAAGCATCAGCCTACGTTGCCCAAGGTCATCTTTGGCATCTGGGAAGAACATTCCAAAGGCTTCTATACAAGTTGCTTTTTGACGAGAAGTCAAACGACCTGTGCCTGAGCTACTCCCTTCTTCTTCAGCATCAGATGGATCAAAGTCTGATTCATCACTCCTGAGACGACTAACGCGTGTGCGTCGTTGACCACCTGACATAGAACCTACAAGTTCAGTGCGAGCAGGTCGCCGAGAAGACTTAGTCTTGGACTTTGATGCAGACGAAGGCCTAGGATTGTAATCATCGGCCGAATCAGCTCCGTCGTCGGATTGCAGATCAAGGTCCGCTTCGGAGAGATCTTGAACGTATTCATCGTCGTCTTCGAGGTCTCCTGGCCGCATTTGGTTCTCAACTTCGATACCATCGTCGCCTGCACCTGATCTCGGTTCGAGCAAGATCGTACAAACGGCTCGCCAATCTGCTTGTGTGACTTCCAGGTTGTCGTCAATTCTGTCGCGGTTATCCCATCCAGAAGCGGCATTCCGAAAAATACCGAGGACCTGTTCGTCATCTGGAGGTAGGTCTAAGAGCTGGAGTGCGGTAGGGATGGAGGAAAATGGTATCCATGGGGGCAAGACTTCCGACGTGATTTGTAGTGTGGAGTTTCCATTGACCTCATTTACTTCGCGTATAAAGCCGCCTCCAGTAGTTATGGGCATCTCGTCGTCTATTATATGACCTCCTTCTTCACCTCCGCTTGCAGCAGCAGTAGAATCAGGATCATTCAAAATGAATCCTCCACCACCCAAAGTAGTGCTCTCAGTCGTAACAGCATCCGAGGGGTCTTCCGCAACAAAGCCACCGCCAGAATCCGCTGTCCATTCGTTAATTGATGTTTTTCGTCTCTTTGGGGGAGGTTCAACTGAGCTAGAGCGCAAGGTTCCGGCATCGCGATGGCTGTTGGTAGCATGAGCGTGTTTAACAGCGGAGAAATAAGCAGAGTCTATTCGGCGTTGGAGATATTGTGGAAGAGCGAAAAACGCCTGATCGTGGTCCATGAAGAGACGCGATGTGACATGGCACGTGCCGAAATTCATGCAAATGTCGACAAATTTGAGAAGGCATAAATAACTAACACCAGTTCTTGAAAGCTTTTGAAAGCTCGTCATATTGTATCTTGAAAAGAAGAGATAAACCAAAGGAAAGTTGTAGTCATATACTATAGTAACTATCATTAAATAATTCCGGCAGGCCTCCTTCACGATGGCGTATACAACTTCACCCACAGAGGAAGTTGACTTCCTTGCCCAGGGTCACTCCTCAGATGAGGACGTTGCACGATTGATGACTTTCCAACAACATCATCTGCGGCTACTGCGAGATCAAATTCGAATGCTCGGACGAGTACAAATATCAGAGCTTTCATCCTATGTCATCCGGAACAGTTTCCATTAGTGATACGAAGAGCTGGAAGCTAAAACCAACGCACTCGACCAGAGAGAATCTATACCCAATACAAGCATGGGCTCCTCCCAAGAAGGACATCATGTTACCCCAAACTCCAGGTATTGATGACGCAGTACTTGGAATACCACCAGGAGTCATCCACCGTTCGGGTCTGTCGAGTAACAACCGCAAGTTAAAAAATCGTTTTTGAACTTGTATTATCTTTACACACCTGAATTCCCTGGCATCCTCCCCCCATAACGACTTGGATCTATTTATGGCGAGAACAGGAATGCTGATTGAATCGCCTTTGTGAACTCTACAGATGGTATCAACACAATATTCATGGAGAGTCTGCGCAAAAAACCTACTCACTGGATTTCATTGTGCACTTCGCCCTTCCGGTCAGTATACGGAACACTCAACGGGATGAAATCGTCCTTCATCGCCACCCTGAAAGTGCCAGTAACAGGTGAATGTACACGCAGCGTCTCCCGTACCACGGCATCCAGATAAGGCAACGAGTTAAGTGTATCCATGGTCGGACTCTCAGTCTGGACTTGCAAAAGTTCGTCACGCAGTTTACGCTGTATTTCCTTGTTCTGTGTTAGGGCGAATAACGCCCATGTTACGGCTGTCGATGTCGTCTGAATAGGTTTTAGTAATGTCCTGCGAATGTTTGTAGCCAGAAAGGATCAGTATCACTTACTTCATGGCCTGCTACGAGGAATGTCGGAACTTCTAAAAAGTAAATTTTGAATAAGTGTACGAACGATATCAGATAGATCGACCAGGACATACGAGCGATAACATCTTCATCACTCATCCTCTGGTGTTCAGGAATATCCTTGCTCATATTTGATCGAACCAACAACGATAACAGATCCCTTGCCCGCCAGCCATCTGCCTTTTCTCCAGTCGCAGCTAGATGTTCCTTGGTTTGCCGGAGAAGGTCTCGGCCAATGCGTTCCATAGTCGCCTGGGCTTCCTTCTTGATTGAACCAGTGGTCGATGGCTGAGTTTTTCAAGAAAAGGAGTGAGACAATACATATGTAAGGTGATCAGAGGAAAATTGTATTTACAAATAGACGTAGTACAGGAACGACGCCTTGTAGGACATTCCAGATAGTGAAACGAGAAGAGATCCCGAATATAACAGAAAACGCCTTGATTAACTCGTCGGGCTCAGTAGAATCGAGGGCGTTGAACCGATAGTTGAAACCTACAACGGATAACTCAGTAAACGTGTAGAATAATGCGTAGTGTATATAGATTTACCTGCCAGGCCTATGACATCTAATGTCATTTTACTGAGCCATGATTGAACCTCGATACGGGCTGGCTTGTTGTCAGGCCCCAATTGGGATGCCCATATATCCCTTAACTAAGGCGAGAAAAGTGATCGTCATCCAGCAAACAATTACACGGAACGCCTCCACATACATGAATTGATTCATCCACAAATATCTCGGCCAGCTCGCGTATTTGGGCAACACCAAAAGCAGGGTTCTAAATAAGCGTGAATTTGAAGCTGAATTTGATATTCAATTTAATCTGAAGAATTTAACTTACCATAACTTTACGCTGTAGCCGGTGTTCATCCTCCTCCTGAACGAGTATCCCTAAACAATTATAGTGTGTTAACGTGTGTTTGATCCATATGTCAAAAATGTTGTACCTGACCCGACGATGTTCCTCAAACCCCACTTTCGGGCCGGTTCTGGTTTTTGATAGTCATATCCGCTCATGAGGATGTGGTTCAGAGCTTTAGTATCCTGGGTGTAGAGACGATTTCCCTGTTCAATATGGATAGAGTGTCATTTACCATCATTCGACGATCACGGATTTCGCCACTTGCAAGAAACCATTTGTAAACTATAGTCGTCCCATACTCTTCGACCCATTTCTCATGTAACACAGAAATTTCCTGATAATCGATGTCAGAACAAAGATGAGCTTGCACTCGTTGAACATTCCGAGTAGCTACTCACAGCATCCTGAATCTCCTTTGAGTTTCCATGGATCCAACTGGAATTCGGGGGGCCAGGCAGGTTGTTCAAAGGGGACGTCGCTTCTCGATATAGGTATTGAGCAAGCAGGAACAGTCCATAAGCTCCCAAAGTCCCGATAATCGAGACGATGATCTGTAAGATGGGATTCATCGAGTTGCTATTGAGTACCAGGTAGAAATAAGGAAAAACTTTGCAGTTCTGAGTTAGCTGGCGGGTTTATTCCATACTTTATAGTCGCAGTATAACCAGGATTAACCGGCCCACGTACACAAGTCTGACTATGACGAAGCCGAGCACATTTGGTACTCGGCAGAAACGTCTAATGGTTTGTCGAACATTTGGCGGGTGAGAAAGGTATACCATTCCGGCTGGCAATGTCTCTCATGAGATTTCCGACGGGATTTCCGTGTTTTTCTCAGGTGAACCGTGCAGTGCTAGATTTAGATGAGTAAGAAGTAGCCTACTTGAGAAAGATGGCATTCAAAGCCCTCAATAAGAGGAGAATTCTGAGCTATTACCGTAGAAGAAGTGAATGAATATCATGCGCATCCTTCTTCGATTTCTTCGTAGTTGTGCTGTCAGAGCAATGGATTTTGTCGTTTTGAGTAGTAGAGTCTGCATATCATATGATTGATGGGTATACACAATACAAACGCGGGAGGAATAAAGAACTCACAATACGAAG